GAACATCTGTTCTGCGCATGACTTTATCTTGCAGTTTGGGATGTGCTGACATGTACCGATCTGTGATCGTAGTCACCTGCGATCCAGTGTCCAACAGCGCCTGACATGTCCGCCCAGCCACAGTAACTTGAGTAGTGCTCACAGGGCCGACAAGGTGCTCATCTGCTGATTTGCGTTCCCTACTGCCTTCCGAGCCCTGTGAGGCAATCATGCATGTCCCCTTCACTTTGTCGTCCGGGCTTCTCAGCTCCAAATTACCCCCTGATCGCCCCTCATCAGTGGGTATCTCTAGTTTAACTGATGCTGGCCTAGACCATTCCGCTGGGTGCAGTGGCGAGCAAAGTGGCCTGGTGCCCCACACAAGTAGCAACAGGTGTCACGCTTATGCAAAGCGGGTGGGCCTGTTGGTTGTCTCCATATTTGCTGATTCACCCGGCTACCTGAGATGCGTCCTTCCAGTTCCTGTACTCGTTGACCAAGGTATTGCTGCCCTTGTATCAAATGATCCAATGTGGTCAACTGCCGTTGGGCTAGGGTGGTCAGTTCGGTAACCTGGTCACTGGTGAACTTACTTTGACTTGAATTAGCATTGCCTGCATCCTGGTTGCCTTGCTGATTTGTCTTGGCTTGCCCCGGTGCTGTCCCAGTTGTTTCCCCTTTGGCTGTTTGTTGGCACAACTGGAAACGTTGCTGTCTCATCTCCCTTGCCTGGTGAAGTTCTTCGCTAATCACACGTAGTTCCTGACGGAGACCTTTGAAGCTCATGCGTCGAGGCTGCATCGGAGCGAGTCGCTGCTTCACCGCTTCATCTCGAAGGCCTGTCATGAACTGCGTTGTCAGTAGCAAATCTCGGTCTTCACAGAGTGATGCTTTCCTCCCTTGTCTTCGCTGAAGATCTTCAGTGTGCCTTAACAGCGCCTCCAATGCAATTGCGAACTCAGTTGGGTTCTCATCCGGTCGCTGTCTTCTCGCGAAGAATGTAGCGATGGGCATCACTGCAGTACAGCCCTCACCAAATTCCTCAATGAGTTCCGTAATAGCTGCCTCTGCTGTGGTTTCTCCTCCCCGACTCTCAAGGTTTAAAATGACATCGCGTGCTTTCCCCCTCGTGTGCCTCACCACTTCATGGAACTTCACCTGGCTTGGTTGTGGTCCCTTTGCCTCAAGCAAGTAGGACATGTCACGTGCCCAATCTTCAACTTTTAGACCGTGCTTTTCGGGGGTTGACCCTGAGAACATCGCAACGTCTTTGACCTGATGAGTGGTATATGCAAACGGTACATGGCGCTCGGCAACTGGGAGGGGTGGATCAAAACCAGCCAACTGTAGGGGACTAAGGTTCGGCTGGTCACAGAGTCCTGTTTGATGAGGTTGGGACTGAGTCGGTGTAAAGGAACTCCTTAATTCCTTCAGATGACTCGGCTGCTGAAGACTTGGCACAGGCTTACTGGTGTTCGGTGGGAAACAGAGTTCATGGCTGTCCTCTGACACTATCTGGGGGGGCTGCATCTTTGTAAATTGATCACCACTGACTTGGATCTGCTCACTGGGTGTGACCCTTGGTTGCGACAGCTGGAAGGGTGGACTCGGTTGTGGCATCATGGGTAGTGGCAGACGAAGGCTATCGTCGGGGCCATAGTATGGTAGGTTGAAGTCAGGCGGGCAGCATGGAGTTGACGCCATCATGCACCCCAAGAACTCCCCAACTTATGACACTGTGCTGGGCTGAGTGAGTGTAACCTGGAAATTTGCCCCGCTAACTTAATACACAAGACTTTGGGAAAGTAACAAGATCTGAAGACACCTGGATCAGGAAGACTGGGTCGCGATTTATTTGGAAGGTCAGGACAAAGTTAAAAAAATGAAAAAAAATAGAAATATGATAATAACCCAACACAGTGCCACAAGTGGATTACTCGAGTGACCAGCTGCAACTGGTGACAAGAGCAGAAAAGTGCAAATGTGGGAAGGCTGAAGAGAGCTGTGAGTGGTAATGCTCACTCTTCAGTAGCACGCACCAGTCTGAACAATTAACTGCAAGAAGCTCGATGAGCAATGCTAAACTATAAGGTGATACAGGGTACCAGACAAGTTGCTGACTAAACTAAGGAAGCTTGTAAAAGAAAAAGTGTCATGCAAAAAAACCACATTCAAATCTCCCTTCCACACTTGCTACCACAATCAGACAGAGCACTCTGATTGGCTAAGAATCCCAATTATATGAATATTTATTTTAGGGACAGTTTGAACGTTAACTAGCAACAACCACAGTCTCGTTCATTGAAGAGGGTGTTTACATTATTCTAAAAAGATGATTTACCATAAAAGCATCAGTTTTTTTTATCAAGAAAGATAATTACTAGATTTTTTCTTGAATATCTATGTATACTTTGTTTTTAAGCGTCGTATTAAAAGGGATATTAACGCAAGATATGAAAAAAAATTTGCACTAATCAAACTGACCAACGACTTGATTTCAAGTCTAGGTCTCACCCTTCAAGCATCATGCGGATAGATGGAAGACAAAACCGCCTATCTTCCCAGTCATCCCACTGGACCACTCTTGTGTGGAGACATTCAAGGTTCTCACCTCCGCCAAGAATTGGTGTCCCTTTCTGGGTCAGGCTCAGAACTACTTTCATTTCACCTAGTCGGACACTGTGGACTTTCTCTCCGTCCCGGACCTCCCTTCAGCCGAGCTGGAGTCTATCCTAACCAGACTCGACGTAGCCTCTCGACACGGCCTACGTTGTACAGCCTTCCTGTCCCTTCTCGCAGAATACCTCTCCTTCGAGGATGATTTGCCCATCCCGGGCCTCGCAGCCATTGCCCTTTGGGCCCTTGATGAGAACATAACTACAGTCTTCAAACAGTTCTCACACACATCCTGCCTGATCACCTCTTCCTGCAGTGCCTATATAGCAGTGTGTTTCCAAGAGGTACACTTTACGAACTTTTTTTGAAAAGGGCTTTTATTGAATCCAGAAATGTGGAGATACGAATGTCAATATATCTCTGGAACACAGCGCACTTGTAGCTTTTGATGTACAGAATCCAACCATATCAATAAATCATAAACCTGAATCTGGCGACTTAGTACCCATTTTTCTAGAGCCGGTCACATATGTACATGCAGTGTGCATATGTAGTGACTGTCTAGGTAAGTATGATCTTGAGGACTCCTCCTACACTGCTGCGGCGGGGGGGGGGTGTGTTATTGACACAAACACAAACAATATTTTAATAGAATTCATATGTTATTGGTCTATGATCATTTATATTGACAGAGCGGAAACCTGAGATGGGGACAAGTTTGAGTATTAGAAACCCCAAATACTGAGCCTTTAAAACTTACTTTGCAGCTGCCAACCCAAGGAGAAGTCCAACACTGGTCATCTCATGTCCCTGCAAAGTGAAAATGGCCAGTATTCATTTGATGATTTGAGGGCTTTAAAATCCACATCAATATATACCGAAAAAGTCAAACTGCTGTGTCACTGAAAACTGAATGGTTTATTTTGATAGTAGGATAATGTGTAATTAATGACAAATTGTTTATACGAGTATGTGTGAATATTAATATTAGGGCAAAGATAAACAAAATGTACACTTGTAGATTGTGAATTTTAGTTTGGGGCATACTGGTTTCTGCTCCGTGCATGCTGTTACATAGTAATGATGCATTTGCTGCAGGACCACAGAGCACGGATTATCAATTTCTGTTAAAACACATGGTCTCAGCATGTGTGTCTGGCACCAAGATTAACCAATTCTTACCAAGCTGTCCCCTCTTTACCAGTGAGAGGATGCTTCTAGTTAGGGCAGATGAATACAAATGCAGATACTCTGTGAATAGCCACGCCGAAGCCGTACTAAATTTGGACCTTTCTGTAGGTTTATCCACAAACATGGGTGCATCCTGCAAGCTTCTCTTGGCATGAGTTAATACTGTTGTAATACAGCTAAGTGGCATGAAGTAATATCTTTCTACTATTCGTTTGGGATGTAGTGGTGTACATGGATAACAGTATGTTATTTGATTAAATCAAGTGAAATGACTCTTTTGTTGACCCTGGCCTATTTGTGAGTTTTACCCATTTTGAAAAGGACACAATGTTTACTATACTGCTGTGAAAAGCCCAAGTTGATATGACCTGAAGACGAAATGCAAAAGCTGAGTTTTGAGGTAACAACTGTGGACAAAGGACTCGTTTTGCCTAAACTACAGGGAAAGAAACATTTGTAACCCACCTTGCAGAGGTAGTCATGCACCTTGAGGGTAGACAGGCTGGACAGGTGTCCATTCAGTCCCAAGGCCATCAGAAACCCTGCATGCTCATTGGTGAGCTCTGACCCGGCTGGCTTATTGTACACAATCCATGTCGAGTCGATCTATGGAAGAATAGATGTTTATTTCCCTCAAAATGATATAAGGCAAAGAAAAGGTAAAAATCCCTCCATTCACCCAGTAAATATTTTGGTTTTTCTTTATTTCCATATCACTACCATGTCTTTTTTAAAGGAATTTCTGGCTGATGTCTTGTATACAAATTAATCAATTTGTAAAATTTGACTTATAATGCTGTTTAGGTGGTGCAACTTATAACTATTACATTAACAATATATTCAGAAAAGTATTAATACATGCACAACAGTGGGCATTTTCACTGAATTATAGTACATACACCTTTTCTTAAATGAGCCAACATTTCATATAAATTTTGCCTTCATGCATTGACGAGCAGAAGACACTGAAATAAAATCAGTCACTTTGGAGTGAATATTGTAGAAGCTGACTTTCTGAAGGATAACTTTAAAAGTTCTTTTCTTTGCACAAAATAGAAAATACTTACTCAATATTTACATTTTATTTAGGGGCAAAGCAGTTGAATTGTGTGAAGATTTGTTTCTTTTTCTAAATTTTCAAGTTTTCAGACTGCCAAGTGTCTTTCCAGGGAATACAAATTAACAAACTCATACGCAAAACTGTGAAGACACTCAAGGGAAAAAGCCTCCATGTTATGTTACTTTTTCTCCTTAAAAATCGCTACATTTCTGATATTTGCTGTGCTAATTTTCTTTTTATTTGGTTATTCATTGTTATGTAAATGTACATGTAAGTACATATACATACAGTGCTGACAATATCTATCAGCAGAGGAGTATCCATTTCTCAGAAATGTTTTCAAGAAGTAAATTTTGAGTTCACAAATTGAACAGAAAAGCCTATAAAATCAACAGCGTCTTTCCTGAATGATATCACAGCATCACAAAAGCCCTTCAATTGTCTGGAAAAGCATGAGTATTTCAAATGTTTAAAAAAGCTAACTTTTCAATGCACTTCATCACGAAAGAGATGTCAAAGACATGTAGTTTTCATACAGTGAAACAGAGCATGAAGTGGCACAAAAAGTGCATGTAAAAAAATTCGCGGTTTGAACCCTTAAATAGGATGATGCTGTTTTAACCTGTGAGCAGCCAGGGGCTATCTTCAGTCCAGCAGCCACACCGTTGTGGAATGAGGGCCAGGAGCTCATGTTGGTGGGGACATCAATGTGCAGGAAGGATATTGCATTATTCCTGAGGAGGACAAAATTATAAAAATCTATCTTTTTTCCTGTGGAGGCATGTGCATGTGACATACGGCATTTTTCACACTCTCTGGGCTGCAAAATGGCCTTGGCTTCGCCTCAGGTGTTAAAAAGGTCATACATGTACGGTCGCTGTGTCTTTCTCAACAGAAATACCTTTAAGTCTTAAAAATCAGTTTCGGGAAAAATCTCCATATGTCTCCAAGCTCAGTAGACATTATGTTGTGGAAGTTAAACAGAGAAATGAACTCCGAACGAACTTCAACCTTTGACCCAAATTGCAGTTCTCCAACACCTGATTGTCTGATTGTACCAATGAATAGTCTGGTTCGCAGGCCCCACATTACATTTTGGACTTTTTGTTGTCCGGTCATGTGATAATTATGGACCAATAAAAATACAGAATTCAAGACAGAGATATAACAATTTGGCTGGAAACCTGCTTTTGCTCAGCAATCATTGTCCTTGTTTAGAAAGTTTCGGTGATTAGCAGTTTTGAGATACTGAGCCAGGCTCTTCCTGATCAGGAATGGAAGTACTGAACAGGGCACGAAATGATCCATGAACAACTTTATTTCTACATTTATCTCACCTTGGAGGAGCTCGACCAGAGAGGTTCAGCTTGGGTATTGGCAACATCTCTGTGACGACAGGGTGGGAAGTGCACAAAGTAAACATCCCCCTGTTAAATACAGTAATGCAAAAAGTGATATCAGAAATGGTGATTTCTTCCATATTTCATTCTGTGACACATTTTGCAAGATATTTAACTTGGGTCGGGTGTGCTGGTGTTTGTGCCATGGACCTTGATACACTACAACAGTCAGCACTGTCATTTATTGTCCCTACAATGCCTAGCAACCTCTTAATAAAAACTTGATGGCATTGTTTAGAACTCTTGTATTTTATACAGATTATAAAGTTACACTATTTGTCGAGCATCTGTACTTTTCTTTTCCACGCTCAGATCTCAGTAATTTCATGACCGTAGCATTAATCATACCTTCTGTAAGTTGAGCTTTCATTAAGATTCTTTTTTGTCCTTTAAACAGTAATCACAGAATCTATCTCTGCCATTGAAGTTGAAACACCACAACGAATTGAAAAAGAACAGCACTGCATGTATGTTTTAAATTCTGATAAATTTACCCAGCACGAAAACACTTCAGAGAAAATATAAAATTATGAATGGTACTGCACCATTAAAGTATAACAATAAATATGGATATCAGAGACTTTCCTTTAACTCTGTAAGAGTTTCTAGTTTATTGACAAAATTTGGCATTAACGCAGCTCACCTTCCAATTGGCAGGGCCATGGTTCTCTGTGACACCACCAACAATCTCATTTCTTGCTCTTCAATGAACTCATGATCACTGTGAATGAAAATCAATTGAAAAACAAAAATGATGTGTCAACAAATGCATAAGTATTGCAAAACCAAGGCTTATAAACCTATGATCTTTATTTGCGATTAAAAACAAAAACCGTTTCCGCTGGAAAAACCATCCTCATTGTTTTCTGAATAATGGCCTTGACCTTTGGGGTTAAAAAACGGTTTATGGAAGACACCAAAATAACCCAAATTAACTTGGAATATTTCCATACCAAATTCTTCTCAGGTTATGGTAGGAAAACTATTTCTATTGGTTTAACCAACCACATTGGCCTATCAGACCAAAATCACAAGGCTTCTGGAATTTATCAAGAACAATTCACAATTTAGCTGAAATGCCAAATCCTTCTCAAGTTACAGTGGAACTTCTATTCTTTTGGCCACAGTAACTTGACCTATGACCTCTCAGGTTCAAATCTTGGCTTGGAGAGGACATCAAGATGTCTTTTTACTGTCATGCCCTAAATACAAAGGCTTCTACATGTCTCAACCCATTCAAGCTACCTGACTTCAGGCTTTTGGACCAGGGCAATGCGGACTGGCTTGGAGGACTGGAGCAGACGCCGCACCTCTTGCACCCTAAGGTCATCTGGGAAGCGCAGACGCAATAGCTCTTGGTCCAAGTGGCCCATCCCATCATCCTCCTGCTTGGACTCCTTGTCAGAAGATGCTTCCTGCAACACAAAAGTTTTAACATTGAGAGATACATGGGACGGCAAGGAAGTGTGTCGCTCAGGGTGGCCAAACCAAATGCCATACATGTACATGTAGCTGATAAAGAACCTTGGGCCTACATAGGAAATGGCAAAGCCATGCAAAACGTACTTGGTATTGGATTTGACTCTAGACTAATGTAAAAATGCCAAGGTGGGACGAGGCTGAGCTTCACATCTAGGCATAAAAAAGTAAAGTAAGATCTTGATAACTTATCCCTCGGGAATGGATAAGAAATTCAAGTCATTCGAATTTCAAGCTAATGAAAGTTCCTGATTTCATGGAGTCATAATACAGATATACATATTGTGTATATATAAATCAAAACCACCTCGATCCACATTAGCAACGTTTTTGTGGTTATCTCTTTTTTATATATTCATTCTAATGGTGCACACTTTCGCTCACAAATTGCTTCACCAAGATTTTACAATGTTGTCACTAAAGTTTCTTTTCTATTGATAAACAATAAACCACTTAAACATTGTGCATCCAAGTGGCAAATGTTTTGTATTGTCAGGTGGATCTAACCACCCAAGGGTTTCAGTGAGTGACCCATCTTTAAAGGGATTTCACCACAGTGGTTTCAGTGACAAACTGATATCCAAGGGACTAAATTGTCAAAAACTTCAGTTGAGAGACTGATTTTCAAGGGTGTAGACGATCAAGGGGTTTCGAGTGAGACACTAACTCCAAGGGACCAAAGCATCGAGGGGTTGAAAAGTGTAACTGATCTCAGAAGGAACAAACCACCAAGGTGTTTAAGTGAGCACCTGCAGTCCAAGAGACAAAACCATCAAGATGTTAAACTGAGAATCTAATCTCTGAGGGACTAAACCAAACTCCAAGTGAAAACTGACCTCTTTAAGATCAAACAACCGAGGGTTTTAAGTAAGAGACTGATCGTTGAGGGATCAAACCATCCAGGGGTTCAAGTGAAAAACTGATCTCTAAGGTGAGATCTCAAGTGAGAAGCTGATCCCGAAGGAAAAAGACCATCAATGGCTTCAACTGAGAAACTGATCTTTTAGGGCTAAGACCACCAAGTGGTTCAAGTGAGTGACTATTCTCTAAGGGGTCAAACCTTCAAAGGGTTGCAGTTACAGACTGATCTCCGATGGCAATTCTCCTACCTACCATGTATCTCCTCTTTTTTCCCCTGGGCAGCCTGGCCTGGGCAGACAGGTCCTGCCGCTTGACCAGTGTGTAAGCAGCCTCAGGCCAATTGCAGGGTGGTTTCTCCCGGCAATGGTAGATAGCTTCTGAGAGTGGGAGGGCTATACCCAGTGGGAGGGCCTCCAGATCCTTCAAGGTGAAGCCGATGTCTGTCATGAAGAGTACGGTCTGCTCAGTGCTGCTCAGGTCCTGGTGGGCCTGGCTGAAGTCATGAAGTCTGGTTGCAGTGTCCGATAGCTTGCAGGGTTGGCCTGTAAGAGAGTGAGATGCACAGCTGTGCTGTAGTAGAGTACTTCCTGAGCACTTTTCAACAAATTATTGTACAAAGTTTCAGGAGTACAATCACTTTTAACATCATCTTTGCTGTAATCCTTCATGAGCAGCCTGTGAGTATTTGGGAACTACTTGACTTCAACAATGACATACAAATGGTAACTAACTCCAATAGATTGGGCCTTATGGATGTTTTGGACAAATTGTACATGTGGTCGATTTTGGCCATCTTTTAGTGTAAATATGTAAAAGCATAAATATTCCGCAACTAAACTTGGATGCCCTGTCTGTCAATGACAAAGTGAACATCCAATGTCCTTTTTGACACCTATGCAGAGTCTCAAAAGCTAACAACAACCTTTCACAGTACTTAATTAAACTAAAACACTAGAGGATATTTTTTCCACCTATTTTGTGCTTCTGATCACATACAGGTTTCAAATGGCATTGGTTGGTCAGGATGAAATTGCTGTCTTTAATTATACAATCATCATAAAAACTAGTGATAATGTAAGACTTCTTGCGGGTGTTCTCAACCAGATGCCAAACAATTGAGTATTGAAAACCATTAATGTCTTTGAGAGCTAAAGTTCTGCTGCATATGGGATGCAGACGTTTGGAGCTGTCCTTAAATGAAAGGAATACATTCTAAACTGGCTCATGGTATAAGTAAATTCAAATCCTGTTTTTGCAAAAAGTAAACAATAAACACATTTCACCATCAAACATCAGGCATATCAACTGGCCTATGCACAGGTGATGGTTCACAGAAAACTTCAGTGGCTCCTGGCCATTCCATTACAGTTATTGTTCATGGTGTAAAGCAGGAACAACCGTGTCTATACTCTTTGCAAAATATTGTTTCAATGTATCCAACAAACAAAACTTACTTATCACAATTGATAATGGAAAAAATAAAAGGAGTCAGTCTAAAGAATTTGAAGTTGGCTTATATGTTGCAGACCTATGGAAACCAATTACACAACTGTATTTCATGTCCAAAGGCTGATGAGAGTTTTTTTTGTATGTTTGCTCCTTCCGTTCATTCAGTCCATTTCTTTTCTTTCATTCTCAAAACATGCCAAAAAAACCCCTCAGGAATGGTGAAAATATTAGGAACTCTCGAGTAGGACAGAAGCAGAACTCATTCTTGGACTTAATTTTGATAAATGAATTTTGTTCTCTCCTACCTGCCACTGAGAGCCTTCTGAAGCTTGTCTTAGAGAAGTCTTGACTCAGGTACAGGGAGTAAAGCTGAAACAGAAATAAATAACACAATCGTTGCTGAATTCTATCATTGTTTACTTGGCAAGTTATTATGAAATGCAATGAGCAGAAAGATGGGAAGGCAACCTTACCATCATTATCTTGTGAGAGACAGTGCAAATACCATCGATGTATGGGTACGGTTCTTGAGGTATATCCATAAGTAGCCCACGCAACCAGTGGTACATACTAGGAGGGTTAGGAGTGAAATAGGCAGGCTGCTGGATCTGGGCACACAACTCTAAACAAAAAAAAGGGGGAAAGGCCAACAAGGAAGTGAGCGCTTTTAAGAGTAACTGTGAGACAAAACAAAATTCCGTCGGACACCAACAATTTCACTGAAAAGCTGAACCACAGATGCCAACTGAAATTCTTACCGGGACTTATCTGGCTGACCTGTTGGCTTACAATGTGGTGGAGATCAGGGTGGTTACGGTAGTAGTAGTCTACATATGCAGTCCAATTCAAGTCACTGAGGAACAAAAATCAAGATCTACATTAACAAAAATGGGTCCAATATCAAATTCTCAATTTCTAGGAGTAACATTTAGCAACAAAACACAAACTTTACAACACAATTAAAACCATACACAGCTATTTCAAAGTAATTATATCAATAAGGCATAAAATTATCAAAGAAAAACTTTTATGGAAGATCTTTACAAAAACGGCAATGTTTAACGTACACAGTCACACATCGTCTATTAATTACATCTGGAATGTTGTACGGACGGTATTCCAGAACTTCCTTTTTTAGAGTAATTGTTTTCGATTTGCCTCTGACTTGTACTGCACTTCCTGTCTCATCTTCATCTTTAGAACACTGGGCCGTTGTTGATATTGAAAAATTGATGGATTCCAGACAGGCTCAATCCACTTAATGAAGCAAATAAATGGATAACGTTGCTGATATTTCCAACCTGGTTATTTGGTAAAGAATGGTTGCCAAGTCCTGTGCACTGTCTGCATGAAACCTGGTGAGCTTGAGTTCCTTGAGAGAAGAAAGAACAACATGATGGCCATTTTGTGGGAGTGTTCAGGTGTGCCAAAAGACATATCAGTGGTGTCAAACCCTGACAGGTACAATGTAAGCAGCCACTGCTAACAGACATTTGTGTTACTGCTAGCCACAGGCAGAACTTCCAGATCACAACATATCAACGCTAGACAAGGGAATGACGAAAAGATTTGGCTAGATCATTTCCACAGTTAAGAGGATACTTGTGTGTGGGTCTGCGGGGACATTGAGATCTGCAGACTTGCCTCGTAAATAAGATGCAGGGCAAAGACAACTGTTGGTATGTCTTTGAACAGTGGGGCACCGGTGTCAATTTTAGCCTGGCTCTTGTCTCCGAGGATACTGGCAGCATGAGGCTGTGCTCCACAAATTGGCTCAAGGAGAGTGGAACAGGCTACATGGTGGTAATTAGAGCCTAGTAGATATTCCCAGTCCTTTGAAAAAAGTTTAAAGATGTAAGTTAACAAGAGCACCGTTAGAAATGAGGTAAATGTCAAAGTTTGAAGGGCAAAACTGCCTCATTCATGTCACCATCTTTAAATTACCGGTATGTCATAACTGTAGGCAACTAATGATCACCTATATCCCCCAAGTAAGAGGCAAATAGAATATTGCCAGGAGCAGAATGTTCATTTGTCATATTCAAAAGTTCAATACGGATTTAAAACCCTTTAACGTTGCTCTTTGTAAATCTGCTCATCTGCTGCAATATTTAATGAGTGTATTCTCATAGTAACAAAATGGAATCTTACACTGAGTAACACCTTTTGCATTTGAACCAAAAATATCCATCATGTGTCACTATCAGGTCTTTCTTACCGAACAAAACAACTTTTAAAAAACAGCCTACCTCATCTAATCCTGAAGTTTTGTGTTTCTTGGTTGCAACCTCAGGTGATGTCAGGGGATCAGTTTCTTGCTGGAAACAAGAATGAAACAAATTAGGTTTGGGTCATCAGCTTTTCAACACTATATTTTTCCAAACAATTATCTTGATTATTTGTGCCACACATATTAAATGAAAGCTGAGACACACATAGTTGTTACACCGAACTTGTATGATCATAAAGTGTAACATGCATGCTTAGGCCTGGCAGTATTTTATGAAATAGTCTTTTACATGGGTACGTGGTTAACAGCCCAAAGGACTGTACCGGTGTGCATTCTTGGCACTGCATGACTAAGGAAGCTGTTTGGCTGGCTCCCTGATACAGAAGTAAATGCAATCACAAATTTGTAACATCATGGCAAATATTCAGACCATGAAAATGGAGCATGTTTACACTTTGGCCGATTCTAATGCAAATGCTTTATAGCATCAAATCTGTGTCTGCATTCCCTTTCAGGTTGAGTAGGGACTGACCTACATGTGTTAATCAGTAAGTGTGTAATCCACTACAGCTATAGTAATCCCAGCACCCTTTCAAATGATTATCCCACCTGCTGAAAGATGGCCAGCTTCTCAATGTTGTATCCCATCATTCCCAAGAGGCACTTGGCAAACACCAGCCATTCTGATTGGGTACTGGGACCACCAGGTGCATTGTGGGTGATGTACCACCTCGCTACAACCTGCATGGCACCATCACGAGGCAATACGTACTTGATGGCATTCAAACACTTTTGCACTGAAACAAAACATAAGAACAGTTTATTCTATGAACAATAACCACACATGCTGTGCAAAATCAGTTGGTTGCTGCATTATTCAATATTTCGTCCAGCTATTTATTTGCATTTTTTCAAAATAATGAACAATTTGTCAACAAGGAAAATTGCAATAAACAATTTCATAAAACTAATCTGCAGGTGGTGAAGTGAACACTGCTTACCAACTGGGGATGATGCAATTTCAGGTATGCTCATGCGAAGCATAGTCCCTCCAGTGAGTTCCTACAAGTACATATAAAATACCGAGGCTTTCTTCTTTATCAAAAATACCCATCCCCCAATTTCTGTATACTTTTAAATATAAGTAGTCATTCCAAAACATGAAAAGAATTGCTACATTGTTTCCATATAAACCACACAATTATTTGTGCTATATATCATCACATTATTTTTGGCTTGTCACAATACACGTTTGACATGAACATGTATATGCAATGAGTTAAAACTCTGTGGCATGTAACACTTTTTACATAGTTAATATATCTTGTACATCTTTTCAATTCTTCTGACAAGAAATCTCACCCCTGAAAGGGTGTGTGAGATTAGTCTACATAGTATCTGGCACAATGCTCACACCATTACTGGGTGCCTTCACAATGCTGAGTGGTAAGATGGCCAGTAGCTTATGACGTTACTTCCAGTTTCCTTACCAAGGTGAACCGATTGGTCACGGGGTCCCTCAAACCGACTATGTGCCTGGTGGGGCCAGTGCTGCTGGTGCCACCAGGGTGGAATGGGAACTCATCGCTGCAGGCCGACTCCTGCAGCTTGGCACCCAAATCCCCGAGGAAACCTGGCACTGGGGACAGCATCACGACCTGGGAAATGAGACCAATGGGCCGACCATGGAGCTGTTACCTAGAGAAACTTGATGAGTGCAGTGTTAAATGTTCATTGAGTCCAGCTTTCTGCCACTTTAAACATTTTTGTTTCTGCTGGCTCAAGATTTTATTCACTTTGAAATGTTTCCTGCTTCAAAGCTCCACAGAATTAGGCAAAGAACTTTGATATCACAGCACTCCTGACTGGACACACTAACACTCACACACTTTCATTCTCTCAATTGCTGTCTGATTTTACATGAGTTCCATGCTGCCATGCCACATTCTAATGGTGATCAGACGAGTGTAAGGTGTAACCTTTCTTTGACCTTTTAAAGCTCATGTAAAAATTTTGTTAAATGAAGTTGACTGCTGGGTGGGTGCTTGTCCTTGTGGGTGTGAAGTGCAGCCTGCAGCTTGTTGGGTGCTGAATGATGTATTTTGATGTTGGCAGACTGTAGGATGCTCTGGAGTTGGTGGGAGGTGGGGCCCAGGTACGGTAGACATACTGTGGCGGTGGGGGGTTGGGGGACTTCGGGTAAAGGTGACCCTGAAGCTGTCGGTCAGGGAGGGACTTCGGGTATGGGAGACCCTAACGTCCTAAGGGAGGGCTTGGAAAGGTTGATACATTGACAGCCGTTCATCTTCACTACAGTGGCAGTAATCTAATGTATCGTTTCTTTTCATATATTCTCGAAGACATAACTTTACAAAAAAAGACAAAAGCCTGGAGACTAAACTTGTTTAATATAACCTCCTCTCATCACATGCCCCCAAGCATTCTGTCAGTTTCATTTCTTGTCACTTTGCACTGATAAATAGGCAGTCATTGTGGTAGTTGGACCTTACTTCAGTGATCCCATTTCAGTGCTGACCTGCAGAAGTATGTGCACATCCAACACACCTTAAAAGAAACTTTCTGACAATGCAGGGGCACTCAAGCAAGTTGTTGAAATTTACATGCCGCTTGACTTGTGTAACTTTATTTAAAAACTACATGTACATGTATTTCTGTAATTAAATATTCCTGCAAAGCAGTTCCTTGCTGTCCTTGTGTATCAGGTATTACATTATTACTGTCAATTGCACTCGGAGGCTGCTGCTGACATACAAATGCAGTGTTGTACTTGTCTACCAACTGACTGGAATGTTAGCTTTGGCCAAACATTGTGACCAGTCATTTCCTTGTTGAAAATCATAACCCTGACCTCCTGGTTCTGGATCCGCTTAAAAACAAAGGTTGTCGTAATACTTTGTCCACAATGACCTCGATCTTCATTCTAATATGTACTAGTCGGTGGGTTTTTATTCGCAGAGGGGGTCCAAGCTAGTCTGCATTACACGGTAAACACTGATTACCAGAACTGCAATAAATGGGATTGGAACCTCTCTAGAGGTTGGTGGGGGGGATCTCTATCCCCCCACCAAACTCTCCCCATAGCAAAACATCAATGATAGAAAAAAAAACTCAATTCAAGGAGCTTAAACATTTGGTAGTCAGAAGAATATATGTATATCTCAATTACCATATCAGCTTTCAGGTACATGTAACATAAGAGGCCTTGGAATCACAAAGGAATAAGGAAAAAAATAAGAAAATAGATAAAACTAGACGGGAGGACTGAGGACAAACTGGGCCATTACCTCATCCATGATGACCTGGGCACTGCTGGAAGGTCGGGAAGATGTCATTGGGGCAGGGCTATCGAGTGGAGTGCTTGGGCGGGGCAAGCTGGAAGACAACGAAGGGAGAATGCCAGGCACGTGTACCTTACCGATCTGTTAAAAGGTGTTGGAGGGCAGAAAAATAAGCAGAGAGCAAGTGTTACGGGTACATGCTTGAATTGGCTTGAGCAAGTTAAGCAATGTATGACAATACCAAATACCAATCTAGCCTTTTTTAGTACACAGCATGTCAGGTGCTGTGAAAAATTCACAACTCTGGTGTCCAACTTGCAAAACCTAAAGTCTTGAATATCTCTGAAAATGTGTGAAGCTTCTGGAATGCACATTATAACTTTGATATGAAGAAGTCTGACATAATGATACTTTTGCTGAATTGTTCTCTGTTGATACTCAAATTCCAATACACTGTACAAAACTGTACATGTGTTCTGCTGTTCACAACACCCTAATGGCCACCTCAACAAACATCGTTTAGTGGATCCAGGGATATTTGTTGTGGACTGGGGACAGAACAGAACCCTGGTGTCTAATTACAAAAGCCAGCAGAATAAACCTCGCAGGTGTGCACTGGCACAAACAAGAATGCGGCGCAAAGCAAGCATGACTTGCTCTTGATGGAATGTACACAGCCCTGCCTCTGAATCAGAATCCCTGTGTACTCCTCACTGTTATTGTTAATACACTGTAATTTGACCAGAGAGAGCACCTGTCAACTGTATTTTCAGCATCAATCTCTTTAATCAACAGCCAAAAAACACGAGTTAATATTGGATGCCCCAGACTCCCAAGGAGCTTTAATGCCAATCATATGGGATTTGTTCATTCATATCACATAAGAAGCTATTCGAATCTGAACCCCAGGCAAAATCAAAGTAGTGCAACATTGTCAAAAGAAACACAGATAGCTCTCTATAAATGTAACTGGTTTAAACAATTATACCTTGGTGAGACCGGTGTAGAGCATCAAGCTGTTGCTGAGATCAAGCACCACCATCATATCCAGACTCTGTAAATGAAACACAATGGGCCATGGATAAAGTCAAGGCTGGGAATTATCAAAATGAGATGGATTTTCCCCCCAAACTAAACTGCCTTCTGATCTGTAGTCTAATCTGAGACGCTGTAACAGCAGTGGCTCCAAACTCAGATGCATTACACGCAAATTCGTTACTTGAAGCATGTGTGCATTTTAAAAAGTTTTCACCATTTGACTATTTTAGGAGGCATTTTTCACTCATGCACACAACCTGAACTGTGAATGGGGTGCTTCTGATTTTGGTTGCCACGTTAATCTGTTTCACTTTGACAAGCTCCGGTAATCAACTTAAACAGGAGTGTGAGCGACCACTTAAAATTAAAAATGAAAGCGGCTAGCAAAAAGCCGAAATTTGAAACGTTGCCATACTTTTTACAGTCCACGTGTACAAAAAAGCTGAAATTTGGGGTGAATGTCTAAACAAACAAAAGCTGAAATTAGCTAAAAACCGGAATTCTCACACCTCTGTTTAGTACGCAAGTCAGTCGGTTTCAAATTAGAAAAAGAGGATGGCAAAATGTGGTATGCTCAGTGCAGGCAAGCCATGTTCAAGTACTAGTCTTCGTATGCAAATAGTGCAGAACTTGTGCAACCAAGTTACCTGTAGTACCTTTGTCTGATAACAAAAACGCTTGAGTGCTGGCGTGAATCAGAAATGATTTAACCCCTGTAGTCAAAGTGATGCTAAGCACATATTGCTTCCTGGGACCTAGTTAAGTACAAAAATCTATTCACCTCGATGAGCTAAAAATGCTCATGAGGAAATTCGTGCATGGGCTTCACTTCACAATTCTCACTCAAAGGGCAAGTATTGCCCTAGTGAATGTGCTTGTACACCAAATACCACATCATTTCTGAAAAATAAACCTTTCCATCACTTTTGTTTTGATTCATTACGCTCCACATTTAATATATAGTATTTTTAACCTTCAGAGGCACAGCATCTTTGACCATGAGGGTCGCGATGGTGCCAAAGATGAGCTGTGACTGGTCGTTACTCTGGCCAAACTTGACACACTTGAGCTGGTTACGGTGCTGCAGCAGGTAGCACAGAAAGTGCTGCTGGCAGATATCTGTCGTCAGGAACACTCTTGTGGCTTTGCCAAGAACTCCCTCCCTGTTGGTGGAGTGACAGACACGCAATTACTTGCTGGCTGCTCTATGGCATCAACTATCAATAGCAGCAGTGGTCAGACAAGACCTGAAACTATGACCTTTCATTTGTTCCCCAAAACAGACTGCCAATTTATAAGGTGTTCAAACTTTGCAGAAAGCACACACTTGATTGGCAACAGCTTTTTTTTCAGCCTTGCACACTCATACCATTAGTGTTGAATTAATTATTTGTTTGCTGTACAAACTTCCAGCTAAGGTTTGCCAACCACTGGTTGCAAGCACTATGATTGTCATTCAAAACAAATGTCCCTTGAAAGTTCAAGAATGTACATGTAACTGTTACCCTCTAAACTCAAAAGCTGTACAGTAATCCAATGAGTGACAGATTATGGGATTGGTCCCGTACAGTTGTAACTTCATTCCACCTCCCAAAGTCTTAAATAGTACTTCAAAACCTTATAATTAAACCAGAGAAAGCATGCAATATAACAAAATAGAGAAGTACATCGAACAACAAGCCTGACATCACTTCATTGTTTGGCAAAGCGAGCCTAGAAAATCTGATCTCTATTTTATTTTACAACGGCAAAAGCAATCAATTAACACTCAGAAATTATTCATTCAGAAATTAAACTGGACTAGCTGAACACTAAAGGTCTTTTCTTCAACCTGCAGAAAAGTTTGGCGCTAAAAGCTGGCTTTATTCTTCATTTTACAAAATACATGTTAGAAGCCAGTTCACAGTCTCAGTATGGACCACAGCCATGATCTCACCTGTTGCTTGTGGGCGGTTCAGTCCAGCAGTGCTCCAGGCACAAGTCAGGTGCCAAGGGCTCGATGACCTCACCACAGGTGGTATTCAGGAAGGAGGCCATGGACATGCCAGCAGGGGACCAGCCGGTCCTGGCCGGGGACATCATGCTGGAGGCTGGGCTGTACAGGGCGCTAGTGGCTGGAGACTGTGTACGACTGCAGGAAAAATGCATTCACTCAACAGTACAGCCCAAACGAAGTGTTCATCAAATTTTTGAAGTGAGAACAAAACCATGAAGCACACTATCATTTTTTCAATACGTGGATACGCTAGCCCTTGGCCTAACCCTTCGTCAGTGTTACAGAATTTCCTTCACATATCACTATGCAATGGTCAATGACCAAGTTCTACCTTTCAAATTTAATTGCTTTGCTGCTGTATGTTGCAATAATTCTTGAGAAAGAGGAATGCAGTTGGGCTTGTAATTTTGGCAAGACCTCAGCTTAATGCTCAAGGACATACCTTTAATGATTTTGGAGTCCACATTGAAAGAAACATGGTATAGTTGTCAATGAAAGGACAGCAGAATGACGCAGCTTTATTCTTTGCTTTTTGTTATAGCATAGGGTTGTTATAGGGTATGAATAATTTTGAGCACAGACAACTGTATTGTGATCAACTGATCATTGTGCAATTAAGCTTTGTGGTTTTATTTCACATCTGCTTAGACAAACACTATCTGTAGCAAAAAGCTTAGTTCAACATGTGATAAGTCACATCCATGTAAGCCATAACTGACACCACTGAATTTCCTCATTCAATTTCAAATCTTTGAAGACCAAACCCAAGTGTACCGGTAAAAGAATAGGTGCAAGTAAGGGGCACTGCAGTGGATACAAAGCAATCAAGTGGGTGCTAAGCTTAGTGCAGATTACCTCGTAAAAAAAATGACTTGGTTAGAAATATATAAAAGAGCCAGGACCTGATTTTTCACATTTGAACATAACACGTAGATAAACTTGACCTGTACTGAAAGTAGTGGAATGTCTCTTGAATTCTTATTCCATGAATTATTTTTCAGACATTTGATTTTTCAAAGCAGAAATGGCACAAAGAGATTATTAACAGAAGGAAAAGGAAACAGACATTTTTTCTACAACCCATGCCAAAGCCAAGTGCAATGTTGTGTTACAAGGCGCTAAGGGGACAAGCAGATCAAAGAAATTTTGTGAGAAAACTTTGCTCCACAATGAGCCAGTTCCATTTCAAATGGTGAATGCTCAACATGAAGACCATCGGAGGTCATTTAAGAACAGCAATATGCCAAGGTCAGCCTAGTTTATACAAATTAGCTCACTGGTAAGCCCTGAGTAAACACTCTGCTTTTTTCTGCTGTTAACATTAAATAATAGTAATTAATTTATAATGCGCATTTTCCATAATACATGTTCAAAAGTGCACAAGTAGTGAATACCTAAGAGCTGCCATGACAGACAAGGCCGGGCTTTGTGGCCGAGAGAACACCAATGGGGAGGCCAACGTCCGGCCAGGCAGTCCCCGGTAGGCTGGAGAAGCTGCCCCACCACCAAGAGGAGACAGGCTAGACAGGCTGAGGCGGGACTGGGAGCTCAGGCCAGCTAGGGTACCTGAGCTGTAGCTGTGGCGTGGAGTCTGGGCTGGGTTGGCAGTGGCGTTCAAGTCCAGACTCTTGGAGGCCACGCAGATTTCCTGTTGGGGGAGGGGGACGAAAAGAGGGAACCAAACAAAAGAGAAACTTAACACATACGAATGCGAAACTAAGAGCTGAAATCTGAAAGCATACGTGACCCAAGAGTGCATGTGAGCATACCACTGATTGTTATACACTGGACAGGCAGCTCTACTCTACGAATTGAAGCTAGTGCGCAGCCATCTTAGTCTATTCAATACAATGGCAGTTTCAAGCTCACTATCTTTAGCGTCGTGCATGAATGCACTTAGTGTATGGACCGAAGTTGGAGGCCATTGTATATCCCAAGATGGCTGCTAGGTCACTTCAATTCACACATAGGCAGTTACTGCTGAGCTGCCCATCCAGTGTGTAGGGATCAGTGGAGCATACGTGACCCTCTGTGAAAATGAGTTACAAGTTGTAAGAGCCACCTATGAGTTAAAGGCCTCAATAAAAGAATCTTGCACAATGCCAAGCAATAGGAATTGAAGCCCGCAACATGTTTCACACACATAATGTCGATTTCCATGAGGATACCAAACTGATTGACATACCAATATGACGATCTCAGTTTTCTCTTTCCATATTTGTGACCAGCTCTGCAAAAAGGTGTATTCTGTCACATTTTTGGGAATTTGAGTTATGTATATAATCAAATTTCTCACATCCTAAGCTTCCATTTAATACATAATTCATCCCAGAGGCATTTTGCTTTTTGGAGTTATTTTCCATTTGCATATTCATATAATTTCATTTTATCACACATGCTTTTTGAGATAACGCCCTTTAAACATAATGAACAGAAACATACAAATTAAATTAGACACTGTTGTATATTAGCCTATTAAACAAACTCATGAAATGGAACGCAAGGCACTTCTGCTCAGTCAGAACTCTTCTCATGTATTCATCTCACAACCTCCATGTTACATTACGTCATTCATTTTCCATGTCAACCCAAAGAGGGCGCTATGCAAACTTGTGGACACAACAGACACTCTCCTGGTTTTCCTTAGCAACAGAGAGGGCGCTATGCAAACTTGTGGACACAACAGACACTCTCCTGGTTTTCCTTAGCAACAGAGGCTTTCTGGTCAAGCAACTGGCCTCAAAATATTTCCAAATATTTTAACCCTCGACACATGGAATGGGCCATTAGGCAAGTTTGCATTGCATGACTTAATATACCTTTTTGCAGAGTGGGTCACATATGTGCAAACTTAAACTCATAAGTGGCACTGGCAACTTTTGACTCATTTTACTGGTGGCATTTGTGACACCAGGCTGGACTGTACAAGCCCCAAATTATTAGATGTGGGCAAGTCCATCCTAACAAAACCAAAATAGTATGACATTTGAGAGACCTTGAGTTTTAATAATAGTTCTAAGCATTTGGTCTCTACTCAATTATTGCCAAAAGTCTTGCACTGTTGCAGGCATTTAGAACGAACAGCTTTACCTTCATAATAATGTACATGTACTTGTTTTTGCGTTTCTAGAAACTGCTATGCATTTGATTCAAAATATTGTTAGATACAATGGCGGACTAATACTTTGATACAAAATGATCCCCTAAAGTTGTACAATTAGTCAAGATGATTTCTATAAAGGAATGTCATAAGTAAGAACCATTGTAACTCTGAGTTAGAGTACGAAAAATATCTTGCTATTTTAAAATCACAGTTTCCGCAAGTAAACAGAGTGGATGCTTATCATAAATTGTCTGTCCCTGTTCATATGAGAGACTTTCTGACACTTAGAAGTCGACAGGAGAACAGTGACAGCCAATTCCAAGGCAAAGGGCCTTGAGTTCTATGAACCAAATCTTGAATAAACTGAGCAGGCTTGTCGCTGAGGAGTGCTTGTTACTTTAAAAGTTGCATGTTGCTGCAATCACCAGGGTTTCTAGCCAAAGAGTCCCGGAAAACATTTGTTTGTACAACGTCCACGTGAGAACTTGAAAATCTGACACGCACTCACCTCAGCAGTAGCGTATCTCAGTAACCACAATGTGTGCAAGCCCATCCCCGAGTCAAAGGTCATTACCAGGGAGGGGTCAGAGGCCGTGAAAATGACCTGCTGAGAGTAGTCGGTCATGAAGCATATCTTTGTGCTTCCTACTCCTGCAAAGTAAGTAACACATTATAATGAAAGGAAATCTTTTATAAAAAAAGAAAACACTGTGAAATAGAAGTTCTGCAACCAATATAGTAAAGGCTGACACACATTTAAACACATTCATTCCATGTGGCCCACTTTTTTGGGCCAACTACATGTACACCATCAAAACATCTGCGTCAACAATCGCAAGCAACTAGCACTTCTAAGGGTAAATCTCAAGACATCTGGGCAGTATAAACAATATGGGTGCATCTCCTTTCATAAATTTGTATATTATGATAAACTCATACTTGAAATGCATTGATTCACACCCTGAAAGGCAAATTAAAATGGAAACACTTGCAACTGAAAAAGCACATTGGTCACTGGCTGAATTTTTTGAATGTCGAAAATACCCAGTCTTGATGGGAGTACGTAACAGGTGGCATTAGATATCTGGCAAATCTAATTTTGTCATGTTTGATATTCTCTGCATGAATTTGGTTGTTCACACTTTCAAACAAGATTAGAGTACAACACACAAACAAAATACCTTTTTGTTGAAATGTTAGTTGATTTGGGGGTGAAATTTAGTGTACCTACCTCCTGTTTTGCATACAATCGGTGCAGGTTCGTCTAAGGGATGCTGAAGACTGAAAAAAGTTGGCAGGCATTCGGAATCTCTGCAGATATCCAATAACAAAATTTGTGTTAGAAACCACTTTCAATAAACAAGGCATTTTTAGCACATGGGGTTTGCATATATCTAATCAAAATGGTTCTGAACTGTACATTTGAAGCAAAATGTACACCATGACATAACTCCCATAGCTAAAAGGTAGGATACACAGAGGTAAAACCCACAAAAATGGGACTGCCGAATAATATCTTAAATGAAAGAAGGTAAACAACACCCTTGGTCAATCTGTCAAATTACACCATCTCCATTTGACCATTGAAAATGCACTTCCCTGCTATTGATTTTTTTTCCACAATATGAAATATAGCCAATGGAATGATAACTGCAGTAACTAAAATCCAATGGAGTATTCTATCATCAACTGCATAAGCATTTTCTCACAAAAGTTCCTTTAAAATCGCCAGTTTTACAGACTCCAGTAGAAGTACCCCACATGGTTTATTCTACTATCTTCAATGATTTCATATAAATAACATTCAACATAATACAACAGACCTTTTTGGACTGCTTATTTCCTGGCTGGATACAGATCTCTCCAGCAGCAATCCCTGTTCTATGCTCCATGAACAAGAAACCTGAATGAAAATGGAATACGATCGAAAACAGATGCATATGTTACTCCGAGTATTTCATAAATGAGTCATTTACTTGTGGCCTGTCCCTCTCTCCTACAAAAAAGGTGCATGTAGGATGACAGTTTTTGGTGTTGACCCACCCAATCCATTCACCTTTCCAATTGTCCTGTGGCAAATTTGCCCTGCAGAGCTAAAGCACATGCGGGAAAGTGGTGCTGAATGGAAGTTGATTAAATTTCAAAAATCACAAGCAAACTGTGAGTTGACCTACATGTACATATGCCATACGAGTGGTCATGGCGATATCACTACTAGACATTCTTGATGGTCCCCTTCAATAACAATAGGAATTGTACGTGCCTACTAAGCATATAGGTAGCATGTCCACAGTAGTAGCCCTGAACAAAACTGATCTTTTCACCACTGACAGGGGCCAGGGGAATGGGCAGTGAAAATGTTGCCCAAAACCTCTAAAGATGTAAAACACTTTGGTTTCTGAGTGCCTCACATTTCGTAAAAAATGTGATGTAGCATCAACTGTGCTGTGGTACACCATATCTTTTACACATCTGGCGTGCAATAAAGCAAGAAGTCAGGTTCCCCATGACCATACTGCAGCATTAGCAAAGCTGGCAATTTGGGAGCCAAACTACATCTAAGTGGCAAGATCCAGTGCCATCAAAAAGTACAATGCCCTTCTAAATCAGGAATTTAGATAGGGAATCAGGATTCCCATATTCCAATACTCATTTGATTCCAATACTCATTTGAATGTTTACGAGGCACAGGGAATGAGACTGTGTACCTGGAAGGGGAGCGAAGCTGTGAACTTATCTCCTTCCTCAGTGAAGATGTTAAGGACAGCAGCCTGGGTGATACAGATGCTTGGCACTGCTTCTCCTAAAGAAAAGACAAAAACAGCACACCATCTCACCCAGGTTGGCTGTCACTGGCTCTGTCATGTGGCGAAAGATTGGTCAAGAAAATGGTTCCCCAAACACCTCAGCTAATTTTCTTTGTGAAGAATACCATTCAGGAAGCATCGAAACAGCACGCTGCAATAGAGGGATTTCACATTAGCTCCGTCTGCGCATATCCGCATCGAAACTGAGGCTGTGTGTGTTGAGCTTTGTCGCGCGCGCCTGCGGAGTCAACAAAATACATGCAGTATCTGGTTCGTAAGTGTGGCGCCACTTCAGTTTAAACCACGCCCACTACACAAGATACACGACCATCGCAAGTATGTTAGTTTGCGGTAAATTGCCGTTATTTTTTATTTTGATTTTACGTGTCGAGTCATTCTGAAAGACTCTTCCACAAAAAGTTGAAGCCTGGAAAGTCTTAATTTAACATTCCTTTATGTATTTTGTGTCTTGACTCCTGACTTTCCATTGTCTGATCGTAAAAGGATTGAAGCTAACATATACAGCCTCTTTTTCAAATGCAGACATGCACAGATTGACTCTAAAAGCGTCATATTGGGATCCCTCTATGCCCTTTTCTTACGTTTGGAAAAACATCTACATGTAGCCATACTCAATTAGTTGTGGACTGAAATGAACAGGTTATGTGATAGAAATGTTGAATTTACACATGTACATGTTTATTGTCTCAATTTTCTTTCGAAGTGACACTTCCCCAAATACACTGATAATTCTATCAAGCAAGACAATTCACTGTACATTTATATTGGCATTTCAGGATGAGGAGCTTAAAGATAAGGTGCAAGCAACAGAATATTAACCATTTGATATTGATTTTTTTGACATTTTAAACCATCCCGAAATCCAAACTAACCCAAAACTCACACTACAATAATTTTCTAAATTCGGTAAAAAACGTACATATGGACAGGTAAGAGCTCTACTGTTCTCATTTTGCATAGGGCCTGCTCCAAGTTCATAAAGAAGAACATGTAATTCATGAATGTCAAGACTTTGATAGATATTTTTCAAAGGAAGGTTTTTATTAAGTAATTAATTCCCAGTGGAACATGTTAAATTAGGGAATGAGGGTTACAAAAACCATCTGCATGGGTGATTCGCACCTGTGTGACTAGCTCTCTCCTCCAGGGGGTCTCCTTTGGTGTCTTGCAGCCTGAACGTCACCCTATCTGCCTGTAGACGTGATTGCATGTATTAAGGCAATGACAGTTGTGTTTATAATGACTGCTTGAATTTGTCAAGTTCAAATTTGGTTATTCACTTGTGTCCTGCTCACACGACACACAATCTGGAAAGCCCTTTTTGTTTCTAATACACCAAATTAATATGGTTAGGATTTTAAGTTTGTTTTCATCACTTTTCTTGGGTATCCCTAATTCATTCTCACCCAAGAATTATCCAAAAACAAACAATACAGATAATTTTTCTTGTGCCTATTTCTGTGCGGAAAGCAGCTTTTTAAGAATAGGGACAATTTACAGTTTCCTGCATTCTGACCATTTGGCTTAAAGAAGCCCCTTTCCAATTTCGCTGACATTTTGCATGTTGTATAACTTGCTGCCCAAAATCTGTCATGTGAATCCATACAAAGACAGACGCATGCAGAAGTCTGAGATAATTACAGGTCGACACAAAACTCCAACCTCAATGAAATCACAGCAGTTAAAATGTCTAGTTCATGCATTCAAGTTTTAGGCACTAAAGTCACACTATTTTGTGAACTGATCCTAACTTTGCCTAAATGCAATGGCCCCAATTGATGTTGCCATGCACTGTCAATCACCCACATTCACTTAAAAAGATTTCAATGTAAACATATTAAAGAAAAACAAATTTTGCAAAAAAATGGGTTACAGGACTGTGCGTGTCTGCAATTTGAAAACCACTAGGTCCAGTGCCATCCTTGTGGCTTTCTGTGTTGCTGATTGGTGGTTTGGACTTTGGTTACCTTGATTATTGCAGCGTCCAGCTGGAAGGATTTCTGCACCAGTCTGGCCTGGGACTGGCAGCCTCTGCTCCACACCACTGTCATGCCCTTGATGTATATCTCCTCGTCATAGTCTGGGTTCTCACTGTCGGTCTTCAGATTTTGCAAAATGTGCCAACTCTCCTTCTGAAGAAATTATCAACAAAACCGAGTTCAGTCCAGCTGTACAAATTTTTTTCATCTGTTGTTTCCAAAATCAGTGACAGCTAGCATGTTGACGAGCTCAAGCAAACCTTTTCTGTATTCATTGTGACCAAATTAAAACAAAAACAAAGAGCCTCTGAGACACCATGGAGACACCAGCAAAGCATAACTTCTACAGTCACACTGACAACACAAGAATTCATCATCAACTTGAGTCCACCAAACAAATTGCTTCATGTAATGACGTCTACTCATTCAGTACATTTAACATTCCTGAATTCTTTAAATGTCTGGCAAAAATGTCCAATGAATGCAGAAGTTTGCTTTTTTCACTGTCCATCATATCATCCTTTTGTCCTGCGAGGAAACATGATGAAATCTCCTGGCTGTTGACACAAGCATCATGGTTTCCCACCAGGGGAGGAATGGACAAATTAAATGAACTGATACATATGTATTTTATACTCTGCCCCACCACAGCACCGCTAATTGGTGTTA